GATTTGAAGCTGCTTCCTTAAGTATAGAATAAAATACTTTTATTATTCTGATGGAACTGTTTCTGATATTTAGTTGCATACTTAGTAAAACAATTATAGAAAATGTAGTAACTTTCAATGATGCGAAAGTATTGTTTGGAATGTCAATTATTATTTCATGGTATTTGATTTGCATCTTTTATAAAATAGCTGCATGTGGTGCTACTTTTAAAATTGTTTTGTGTTATTTAGTATTTCTTCCTCCCTGACCACCTCTCTTTATTAACTCTCTGCATGATTCCCAATGGTCATCCTCTGTACCCTACAAATAAGAGGGTTCCAACCTGATCTATAGATCAATTCACTGACATACTCCTAATTTGATGGCATTATTAGGAAGTGATGGAAATTTGAAAAATGGGACCTACATGGGAGGAAACAGTTTAGCAAGGGTGTCCACAGGGATCCTTCTCTTCTTGGTGGCTGATGAAGAAATTAAGATTCAGAGGAGTAGAGTTACCTTGTCAAGTTTCACAGAAGCAGGAAATGGTAAATACAGTGTGCTGGACAGCTTCAGTTGTTAACTTGACACACATGGGAAGAGGGAACCTCAACTGCGTGATTCCCTCTATCTGATTGGTCTGTGGGCATGTTTGTGAGTCATTTTCTTGATTATGGAGCTATATGAGAAGGCCTAGACCACTGTGGGTGGTATCTCCCCTGGTCAGGTGGTGCTGGGTTACATAAGAAAGCAGGCTGAGCAGTGGCCAAGAGAGCAAGCCAGTAAGCAGCACACTTCCATGCTCTAGGCTTCAGGTCCCATTCCCAGGTTCCTGCCCTCCTTGAGTTCATATCTTGGTTTCTCTCCTCCCCAGGTTTCTTTTGGTTCATGTTTTATCACAGCAACAGAAAAATAATTAGGATATATAGAAAAGTAAACAGCCTGACTCAAGAATTTATTGCACTCATTATACCTAGGTAACCAGTGTCTTCAAAGATAAGTGAACCAATTTTCCCCAAATTTCAGAGCAAATGACTTCCGAAAGTATTTAATAGTGGTTTTATGGGCTATAAAGTATGGGAATCTTTTCCTGTAATAAGCATTTTTTAGCCTTTTTAATAATATATACATATTTGTTAAGTACCCGCTCTGTGCCAATGCTGCTCTAGGTTATATAATCGAAAGATTACAGAATGTTGGCAACAAAAGACAAGCCACTTCTGGTCCAGTGGCTTAAAGTCTGCTTGTTGGAATTGCCTGGGCAGCACTGTAAAAATACTGCCACCTAGACTCACCTCCAGACCAACTGAACCAGAATCCCTTCAGGGGTGCTTCCTAAGGATGTTGACGGAGTCTGTCCATGCTAAGAAAACTCAAGGTAGTAGATATAGCCTGCCTTGAACTATAGATTGAGAACATTTTTAAGTTTTCTTCATTTTCAAAAAATATTTCTGATATAAAACTAAAATCATTCCAGGTGTTGGAAATTTTTCCACTCAGTAAATCCTCAAGAAGAAGCAAGACAAAATTAGGGAAGAAAATCAGTAAGTCGTCACAGGTACTTGGAGTACTGCTGTAAAAGGCAGCTACTTCCCAAGGCAGAATACAGCATCCAGAATAACATTTCCTTGTCTTATCAATGCTGAGAATATAATGTAATTCACCAGATATGAACTTGTATGGATGAGGCCAAGTCAATAGAAGCACATTTGACAGAAAACTGTTACATGTGGAAGTTTCCCCAGCGGGGGAAAATTCAGCACTTTGAATCACTGATAATCATATTTGTTGCCTTAAACTCATGCATCTGTACAAAAAGGGATACACAATTTCTCCTGCACTAATCATTAAATCAAATCCTGTATGTAAATTATCCTAATACAATTAATGGATAATCTATTAATAGTAAGTCCTTTCTCTTGCTTCCTTTGAGTTTAACAACATAAAACTCAATAAACTGTATAAACTACCCAACTTGATGTGATGGCTAACATTGGTTGTCAACTTGTCTAGATCTTTAATCAACTAAAATGAAAGTCCTGTGGGGGACTTTCTTGATCAGTTATTTGAAGTACAAAGACCTACAATCTGAGAGGCACCTTCTGGTGGAGTCCCAGATAAAAGGACACTATGGAAGAAAGAAACTTTTATTTTTTTGTCTGCTTGCCTTCAGTCTAGGCAAGTTCATCTATCTTGTTGCTATTGCATTCCTTTATTGATGTTATAATCAACTTCCCAAGGCTTCCAATCTAGACTGAAGACCAGCAGTTCTCTGAGACTCCTCCAAGCCTTCAGTACCAGATTAGGATTTCTGAGACATCCAGTCTCATGGACTGAGTGATTCCGTGTCAGCATCTGAAATGTAACAAATCCCCTATCTATCTATCTATCTATCTATCTATCTATCTATCTATCTATCATCTATCATCCATCTATCTATGTGTATGTATATGTATATATAGAGAGATAGATTCAATCTATCAGTTCTGTTCTATTAGAAAACCCTGACTAATATACTGTTTTCTAAAAGAAAAAAACTGCTGAGTCAGAGGACATGGTTACTTCCTGTCTCCTCAGGAAATCCTGTTGTTTATCTGCCAAAATTTAGGAACTGGGTGTTTTCTTCTGTTTCTCACAGGGAATGCACAGAAAATCTTCTCCCCAGTGGGAGTACCAGTGGGGCTGTGTTCCTGTGCTGACTTGCACACGAACCCTACTTCAGATGTACACAATTCATTCAAAGGGTAGTGACAACAGGAGTGTGTGGCCAGCCTCAAAGCCTCATGAAGAAATGCTACACATATTGAATGCTCAAGCTCAGATGTAGGCTCCCTTCCAGGTCAGAAATAATCACATGCAAAGCTTTATGTTTCACCAAGGGGTTTCACACAGACATTGTTAAAAGAGGGATGCATTTTCTCAATGGACCAAACAATGTCATTTTTAGGATATACATATATATATATATAAACATATATATACATACATATATATGTATATATGTGAGGAAAGTCCATATCTGTCTTCTTTACCAAAGAGTTACAAGTACACTGCTAGGTACCTTCTAGAATTGTGTATTACACTTTTCTGTTGCTGTGATAGGAACACCAACCAAAGCAATTTATAGAAAGAGTTTATTTGAGCTTATGGTTCCAGGGAAATTACAGTCCATCATGGCAGGGAGGCATGGTGGCAGAGGTGGCTGGAGGAGGAGAGGAAGCTAAGCTCTACATCTTCCAGCTGGCACAGGAAACAAGAGAGTAACTGGAGATCCAGCAAGGCTTAAGAATGCTGTAAGCCCACCCTCAGTGACATACTTCCTCCAGGATAGCCACACCTTCTAAGACCTCCCCAAACAGTGCCACCATCTGGGGACAAAAAGTCCAAATACTTGGAGCCTAGGGGGACATTTTCATTCAAACCACCACAAATTGTTAACACCTTCTTCTTCAGTTGGTAACCAGGAAAATTGACTCCTTCAAATTCAATATTTAGAGCTGCAGCAGAAAGCACCGACTATGTTCAAAGTACAATGCTTAGTACCACAGAGAATAAAATGATGGGCTAGATTTGGCCCACCATGGGGATGAAGGCACATGCAGAACTTGAATAACAACCCCATATCGGCCCCAACAGGAGATAAACAAGAGATTCTACTACATTCCCATAAAATGAACATAATTCAATGAACCTTCAGAATTTCCTACCATGGTCATTTTACACGGTGTTGTCTGTTAAGTGTACAGTAACATCCCCCAATATAATTACATATTCTATGAAGATGTTTTTCATATGAAACTGCATGCAATAGGTTTTTATGAAGAGGCAATTTCCTGTTGTTAAAAATAACAATGTCTTACTGAAAACAACATTTCTCAAAAATACATAGGGCATAACTAAAGTTCTACCAAATGCTAGGTATTATGCAAAATAAAGAAATGTACAAATAAGTAAATAAGAGTGAGAGTTCACATGAGGGGAAAACTTGAGGACATATCAAATTCAACAAAATTAATTCCTTAAATGGCTGTATTTCTGAGAACCTTTAATATATCAAAATGTACTGTGAACTAAGAAGTGGCTCTAATACAGAGCTTACCACAAGCTTTCTCTTTTTTTCTCAATCATTTTTCAAAACTCAACTACAATGGAACCTCATTTTGGCTAACACATGGCCTGTCCAAAACTGGAAAAAGACCATCTTAACCTTCCCCTGGGAAGAGCTGGTTCTTGGCAGACAGACCAAAGACTGTCAACCCAGGTTGGTGATCTTGAGTTCTTACAAAGCCTGGGTGATTTTCCAGGGAAGGAAACACAGCTCTTCCCATGCCAACTGTGGCTGGTTACACACCTATTAAAAACCAATTGGAGCACAACTGCTTAGCATTTGTCTGAATTAGAACATGCAGTGTTAAGTCTCAGGTTAGTGTTTCCCTTCTTCCTGGTAAGAACAAAACAACTTGAAATCTGAATCTCTATTGGGCAAACCCCTGGCTAATTCAGGCAAAATCAAGCTGAGGCTGTGGAAGGGTGACTCTGTTGATAAGACGCTTTAAAATGGTCATCACCACTGACTATCTTCCGCTAGGAGGAAGCAGACACCAGCAAGAGGCTTTGAATCTGCCCTTCCATGAATACTAAGAATCATTAATATGAAAAAGTCCTATAGAAATGTCCTTTAAACAGTTGGCCATTATACTCATAATGTTTTAAAAACAAAAACAAAATTTCTCACCCAAACCAAAGAAACCAGAAACTTTCCATTTTCGGGACAACTTTATGCAAAATACTTCAATCTCTGCTCTGTTCCCATGAGCACATAGTTGCAGAGTTCCTAATAAAACCGAGCCTTTCCGAGGCATGCAAACTTGGGGGAGACAAACACGCTGGCTCACTTAAGAACGGCAAACCGAGAGCAGTCCTAATACATGCCCGGCTGTGTGGCAGTGTTTGGCAAAGCCGTGTGTTAGATGATCAGGCCCCTTACCACCCGAGCGCAGCCCACAGTCCCACCACGTACTGCAGTGGGCCTCATCGCTCCAGTCGTCGCAATCGTTGTAGCCATTGCACCGCAACTTCCTGGGAACACAGATGCCACTGGTGCACAGAAAACTCTCGCCCCCTCCGCAGAGCACTGGAAAAAGGGGCAAGGATAATAAGTCAGAATACAGAATAGATTTCCCCCTCTAAAAATTAGGAGAGAAAAATGAATGATAGAAAACCTTCCCTCGATGTTTAACAGGCTTGTCTCTGGATTCCCACAGTTTCATTTGTCATCAATTTTTCTTTGGACTTTAAAACATAAATTGTGGAATTACCTGGAAATAACCCAAAGCATATTTGCCTAATAAAACCAGGAGAAAATTGATCAGCCAACTTGCACAAGAAAGAATATTTGCTTGGAGAAGAATAGGAAAGTGACCCCAACCGTTGCACAGGTAGAGGAGAAAATGCCCCATGGAAGGATTTTCTTAGCAATTAAAAATAGAATGAAAGTGAAATACTATTAACTTAATAAACAAAAAAAATTCCCTCCTAAAATGCAACTGTGTGTAGCACAAAGAAAGTTCCAGTTAAAATACAGACAATTGATGTGTGCAGGAATACAGAGACCCTATTGTCCTGTATTTCAAATATATTTATTTGTCTTATTAAAAATGCCAGTTAAAATGCCAGAGTCTGTTTGGGCATAAGGAATGTGAAATGACATTAGCTAGTAATATTTTCCCCTTTTTTTTCCCTCCCTCACAGTACATTTTGGTATTTTTGTTTTTAGTATTAAGATGCTCTTTTTTCTTTTTTTTTTTTCCTTTTTTAAAAAAAAGATTTATCTGGAGCTGAAGAGATGGTTCAGCAGTTAAAGAACTGGTTGCTCTTGCAGAGGACTTAGGTTCCATTCCCAGCACCCACATGGTGCTTAACAACCCTCTGTTAACTCCAGTTCCAGGGGATCTGATGCCCTTTTCTGACCTCCGTGGGCATTGCATAACATGGGTACACTTATGTACATGCAGGCGATGCACTCATACACATAAAAAAAAAAAAATTTAAAGATTTATCTGTTTTTGTGTATTTGTGTGAGTCTGTGGGAGTTTATATGTGTGAGCATATGTGTACCATGCACATGCAGAAGCCTATGGAGGCCAGAAAAGGGTGTGGGATCCCTTGGAACTGGAGTTACAGGTGACCATGAATTGCTATGTGAGTTCTGGGACCCAAACCTGGCTTCTCTGCAAGAGCAGTACATGCTCTTAACTGTTGAGCCATCTCTCTCCAGCCCCTTCTCTTCCTTCTGAAAGTTCAACAAATATTTGACTGCTTTAAATTTATAATAAACAACTTTCAGATAGAAAGCTAGAAATACTGTTGAGGAAGGTCATTAATTAAATAGTAAATCAGTTCAATAAAGCAGGTAAAAATAAGCTGAAGTGTTCATTCCTGTGCATCAGCTACCTTTTTAAAAATTATTTATTTAATAACCACATAATTAGAAGAAGCATTTCATTGCAACATTGACATATTCAATAACAATTTCCAGAGCTAAGATGCATCTCTTTCAAAATTGGCTGTAAATTTTTAGGTTTAAAATTGAATTAATACAGTTATAAAATATTGTACCCAATACAAACCCTATAAGATATAAAATTAAATGAGGATTTAACCTTTAAAAAAGATCTCTATTTCATTATTAAAATATACACTTTGATACAGAAAAATTCATTTTTAATGCAATTAACACTAAGGTGTTTGCATATGCATTTCTACTCTCTATATATCTGATTATTACTAGTCACAGTCAGTTACTTTCTGAGCTCCTTGGCATCTGAGCAGGAATATAAAGTCATCACGTAGATTTCAATGGTAATGTTTTCCACATCTACTAATTATTAAGAAGAAAATTTTTATGCTTCAAAAAATTATTTTTTTAATTTATTTTTTAATTTAATTAAATTTTTATGCTTCGAAGAAGTATTATTTTTAAATAACTTTTTAAATTTCATAGCCACATGATTAGAAGAAGCATTTCATTACATCTTTAACATATTCAGTAACACACTCCAGAGTGAGGATACATCTCTTTCAAAAGTGGCTGTAAATTTTTAGGTTCACAGTTGAATTAATACAGTTATACAATATTGAACTCAGTATAAACCCTGTAAGGTATAAAATTGAATGAGTTTTTACCCTTTAAAATACGCTGTTTCCTACATTTTTAATGCTACTAACGCTTAGTAGCATTTGAAAAGTTATTTTAAAATAATGTGTCTTTAATGTATCTGATGATTACTAGTCACAGTCGGTTACACTTAGATCCTTGATACCTGCGTATGGATATAAAGTCATCAGGTAGATTTCACTGGTAATGTTTATCACCTCTACTATTTAACATGAAGTAAATGTTTATGCTTCCTCCTCAAATATTAGTCTTCTCTCTCTTTTTTAAAATTTGTTGATTTTTCTGTGTGTATATCATACAAAACATCCCACACAATCTTATTCATCTATATACCTACTTCCCAAATGGCACCCTCCCATAGCTTCCCCCCTCCCACATACTGGAGTCCATATACTCTGTCATTCCTGTTACTGTCCACTGTGTTGTCGAGACCCCCAGCCATTCCCCAGTGCTTGTCTACCTGCTGAATCTAGTCAGCCTATCTAGAGATCCTTGTTTTAAGAACATCAATTGTTCCTCATCTAGCAGCAATAAGTTGTCAATATTCCTTTAGATAAGTCTGGGGTCTGCTGTTCATTTTCCCAGTTCTATGCTGAGTTACTGTCTGGGAGTCTCTTTTACCACCTTGGCCAATAACTAAAATGAAGGTATCACCTGTCTGGCATTGTTTCATATTATGTAGCCTTCAGCTACACACATAGACTCTTAAAAGTTATATTGACCCCATTAATCTTCAGTTATACTTTCCTTTTGGGTGTTTAAGACCCTAGAGTTGACCCAGAAAAAAGAATTTATTTTTACTCTTAAGGTCGTTTGAGGATCTGTTCCTCGGGGGTAACATGGGCTTGGGAGGAGTCCCTGGCTCCTTTCTTTTACCAGTTCTATGTGAAGATAAGTCAAAGGTCCTGCTTAACCATGGCTGGCTTTGCTTGGAAGCATGGAGGAACTGTTTCCTCTGTGTTGACCCTCCTCTTTGTAGACTGGACACTGGTTCAGGTCCATCTGGTGGGGTCTCCATGGCCCCCTTGCTCAAGAGGACAGGTGACTCACCACAGTTACAGGACATTTTGAGAGATGCTCATAGTCCCCTGGTCCTAGGAGGGCAAGGAGCAAAAACTGTCCTTTATGTCCCCCTGACCAAATTAGTATAGTCCTCAAAGTATGGCTGTTAAATATCCAAGAAGGTTAGTTCCACCAGCCTGGTACTTTCAGTTACCACATGTCATGTAGATAGAACTTGGGCAAAACCAAACACTCTCAGGTAAACCTTGCCTAGGCATGTATTACATTCATTGATCTGGTTGTATGTATAATTTGTCAGTAGGTTGTTGGCCTAATATGGTTCCCTCTGGTTTTCTAAAACTAGCTTAGGCATTATTTATCTCTCACATTGTCTACCCCTTCCACCATGGCTTCCCCATTTAAGGTACCCCCATTTTTTCTACTTCTCCCTTAATAATATCCTTCTCCTATGGTCCCACCTCTCTTGAGCTCCTTCTTTCCCTTTATCTCCTACATCCCTTATATAACCTTCCCTGCCCCCTCCCCTTAAAATAACCCCATTATTATCCATATCTCCCTTATTAATACCTATTTTCTGCTGCTCTCTTTCAGACTCTTTCTTTTCCTTTACTTCCCTAGTTCCTCTTCATTATCCTGGTTCCTGTAATTATGTCTGGATACATATTCACTTATAAGAATTTGGTGCTAGGATCCACATATGAGGGAGAACATATGTTGTTGGGTTTTTTTGTTTGTTTGTTTTTGTTTGTTTTTTTCTGAGTCTGTGTTACTTCACTTAGTATAACAGTTTCTAGTTCCATCCATTTACCTGCAAATTTCATGATTTCATCTTTCTTTAAGGCTTAGTTAAATTCCATCATATAAATGAACCACATTTTCATTATCCAGTCATCAGTTGAGGGATACTTAGGTTGCTTCTATCTCTTAGCTATTGTGAAAAGAGCAGCAACAAACATGGATGGATGTACAAGTGTCTCTGCAATAGGATGAGTTCTTTGGGTATATGCCAAGGAGTAATATAACTGGGTCAAAATAGTAGGTTCATTTGCAGTTTTTTAAGAGTTCTCCACACTGCTTTCCATAGGGGTTGAACAAGCTTGCAGTCCCACCAACAGTGAATGAGCTTTCCCCTTTTCCCACATCCTCTCCAAAGTTTGGTATCATTTGTTCTCTTGATCTTATCCAGTCTGACTGGGTTTTAATTTGCATTTCCCTAATTACTAGTGATGTTGAACACCTTTTAAGATGCTTCTTAGCCATCTTTATTTCTTCTTTTGAGAACTCTCTGTTCAGCTCCTTAGCCCATCTTTCAATTGGGTTACTTGTCTTGATTCTCTGTTTTTTGAGTTCGTTATATATTCTGGATATTAAACCTCTGTCAGATGTGTCACTAGTGAAGACCTATCAGATGTGTCACTGGTGAAGATTTTGTTCCCACTTTGTGGGTTTTCCATTCACTTCCTTGTTTGTTTATTTTGCCATGCAGACGCTTTTTAGTTTAATGAGGTCCCACTTGTTGATTATTGACCTCAATGTCTGATCAACTGATGTCCAATTTAGAAAGTCCTTTACTTCGCCTATATCTTGTATGTGCTGCCTGTGTTTTCTTCTAACAGTTCCAGATTTTCAGATTTCTCTTTGAGGTCTTAGATCCATTTGGAGTTGACTTTTGTGCAAGGTGAAAGATAGGGGTTTAGTTTCATTCTTCTACAGGTAGAGATCCAGTTTTGGAAGCACCATTTACTGAACATGCTGTGTTTCCTCCAGTGAATGTTCTTGGCTCCTTTGTCAAATATCAGGGGGTTGAAATTGAATGTACTCATATTTGGGACTTCAATTTTGTTCCATTGATCTATGGGTCTATTTTTGTGCCAGTACCATGTTGTTTTTATGACTATAGCTCTCTAATATAGTTTAATATCTGGCATAGTAAG